TCGTAGCTTCATAAAATTACAGTTGAACCACTGATGTCACATGGACTATTTTAATGATGTCCTTACTACCTTTCTGGGCCTTGAACGTGGTAGTTGCGTTATTGTCTGTGCAGGGTCAAAAAGCTCTTGGATTTCATCAAAAATATCTTAATTTGTTTTCCGAAGATTAACGAAGGTCTTACAGGTTTGGAACGACATGAGGGTGACTAATTAATGACAGCATTTTCATTTTTTGTGTGAACTATCCCTTTAAGACTGAAAGAGATAATTGCTATTACAGCAAATATTAATAATGATCTTTTTTTTTTGTGTGTGTTATTATTATTTAAAAGCAGGTATTCAGTGAGGTGTTTGGACAGAAGGTAAAATATGAAATGCAAAGTACGGCAAAGTAAAAGACTGAAGAGCATTCTTATGTAGTAAAAGCAATCACAGAAGCCTAAAGAGGTTTGGAGTTTCAGTGTGTGTGAATGAGAACCCAGTCCAAACCACAAATTCTGTCTGCCTCAGCTTTCAGCTCTTTAATCTATCCATCAGTCTATTAACCCTCCATTTATTGATCTGTAATGGACTCTTTATTTGCACACAATAGATTAGTAGGGGATGAGAACCCTGGGTCACATCTTCAGTCTCATTACCCCCATCTCCCTTCTCTTCTGCCTCAAATAGCAATCTCAAGAGTGTCAGCGCATTTTAAGGTGAACGCTACAAAGATGCTATAACTTAGTGGGCTTTTAAGCATTTCCACAGTCTGAATGAACCACAATTAGGCCTAAATACTTTTACTATTATTATTGCTGATTTTAAAAGTAAGTTTGAAATGCCACAAAGCATTCCTTTGACTTTGGAAATGTTTTATAATGAGCGATAAGATCAGTCATAGCACATGTGATGGATGGATTTAAGGTCAAACATAAGCTTTTGATTCGACTTCATGACATGAAACCCAAGATGAACAGGCCTTTATATCTGATCCCTTCAGTTACACTGTAATGATACTGTTAACCTCTGTAGTCTGCAGAAATGAATGATACTGTGCTGTTCATGAATCAAATTCGGAGATATCGCTCTAAGCACCTAAGCCTCAGTACTGCTTAATGCAAAACTGATGATGCCTCTCTTCTTCATTCGCATTATAAATTTGATAGGGCAATGAAGTCTAGACACAAAGTAATGGGAGAAGAGAGAGGAAAACAGTATTCGGAAAGGACCTCTAGCAGGGACTCAAACTCGGGTTACTTTTTATTAAGGCAGTTTGACTTCAGAAAAAGGTGTAGAACTTGTAGATCTTTTGCACTGTGCTGTTTTGCATAGTTTATTCTGTTGGATGACATTTTTGACTCAAGTAACTTGCTTTTATTGCATTGCAGCCAGCTGGTGAAGAGGTAATAAAGGTACCATATACTATTGTAACGGTGTGAAATCATCTAAAATGTGATTTACTCATAAAAGCATAGATAATCCAGCAGTCAATGCTATTACAGAGCTATGATTCTCCTGGGAGCCATAAAAGCAGCACAACACAGTGCAATGCAATAAAGTTGTTTGTGGCATTGTAAATTAACATTGTTGTGCTAAGCAGACAAAAATTCGCAAAAAAGCACCATTACATACGAAAGTCTTTGTTTTTGTTAGTGATTAATGCTAAATATAACTGAAATTCCTACTGTGAAAGCAAAGCGCTTGTTGCAGTGTAAAGAGCTTTGACAATCTATTTCTAACCAACCTTTTTAACCAAGAAGGATTGTAAAAACTATGATAATTTATTAATATTAGAGTAAATGTAAAGTTTTACGCTGCAAGGTTGAAATAAGAAATGATTTGGGGCCTCTAAACCTTTCATATAGCTGTGTGAAGTTTTTTTTAAATTAGAAATTAGTCCATTTCTGGACCATTAAGCCAATCAAATTCAGAGACAAGAACTAATTTGTATCTTCGAATTTGATTGGCCTAATGATTCAAAAACTGGGCTTTTCTGATAATACTAAATACAGCGATCTGTAGGACATCAGAAGTGAGTATTTGTGGTGCATAGCATGTTAAATAATAATCAGATATTTGCTGCCTGAATATAGCAGACTGATCTAACAGTATTAGAGCAAATGAGCAGGAAGAGGTTTGTGCGCTACTTGAGTCACTGGCATGCAAGACTAATTAGAAGTTGAAAAAGTAGATTCAAACACTCGCAATACTGCAGGGAAATTTGCTGACAGCTAAAGTGCAGAGACATGCTGATTTGTATACTAATGCACTCTAGCATAACAGAGCAGTTACTGAAAGATGTAATATTACTTCTGAGTGGATAATAACTGAGCCGCACCACTACTGCCTCCCCCATAGCAGCGAAATACTCAGCTGAAATACTGCCAATCCGTTTGAAAACATTCCAATGACTTCCATTTTAAAACAAAAGATAAGTTATTGAATTTGAACTTAAATCAACTATGTGAAAATGGCTCTAAAGTAACCGTTAGACAGATTGATGCTGAACTGTTTAAATATCGTTTTCTTTGAGAATGCTACAAAAAATGCAGTCGTCAACATTACTGTAACTGTTGGATTACTTTTCATAAACCTGTATGTTGCCTGAAATTACGTAAACTGTCAAGTATATAAAAAGGTAAACTCGTTTGAAGTACTTTAACACATTGCCTTAAGCTGTACTCTCTTGTAAACAAATATATTAGCCTGTAATGTCACTGACTAAATCACCTTCCAACTTTTTTTAGTGTTTGTACACATGAAACTTTCTCACACATGAAACTTTCTCACACTGGTGACAGTTTAACTAGGAAGAATCTGTGTCTATCCAGGTTTTACAGGTTTACAGCTTAGGCAAAATGAAAACAGTTCATCTGCAGTACATGCAATATAGATGATGAAACTAAATAGGCACACAGTCAGTGTTTGGGGTCACTTTATTATTTTTTTAATGAATAAACAAATACATTTATTTAGCAAGGATGCATTAAATTGATCAAAATGACAGTAAAGATATTTTATGATGTTACTGAAGATTAATTTAAACTTTATTTTCAGCAAAACATCCTGAAAAAAGATCTTTCATTGTTTCCACAAAAATATTAAGTAGCACAACTGTTTCCAACATTGATAATAATAATAAATGTTTCTTGAGCACCAAATCAGCATATTAGAATAATTTCTGAAGACTGAAGTAATGATGCTGAAAATTCAGCTTTACCATCTCAGGATAAACTACATTTTCAAATCAATTAAAATAGAAAACAGTTATTTAAAATTGTAATATTATCTCACAATATTTCTGTTTTTACAGTATTTCTGATCAAATAGATGCACCCTTGGTGAGCATAAGAGACCTTTTTCTTAAACATAAAAAAAAATCTGACCGACCCAACATTTTGAACAATAGCCTAAAGCTTTTTCCAGCCCTGGAAAATGTAACATTGTCCAAGACCACATCAAGGTGACCCTTTAATACGTAATTCAGTATTGAGTATATTTCTGGAGTGACGTATGGCTGAAGTCTGAATAGACCATTTAAGACATTTGTCACTCAAATTTCATTTCATTACTTTTAAATCACCTGTGAGTGTTACATATAAAGGCTACAATGCAAGGTGAATCAGCAAAATGCTGACAACTTACTTTATTGGACCATTTGTAAGCCTGGAGCAGCTGGCTGTACAGAGGGGTTTTGTCCTGAACGGGGTCTAAACTGAGCAGTCCACTGTTGTGTAAGGGGTGACTCTCTGACGGCCTGCCAACCAAAGTGCTGAGACGCTCCAATTCACTGCAGAAACAAGAAACAAAAGTCAGGATGGTACGGTTGATATTTTTTTAACATACATGAGGAGTGACGACAGTGTTGGAGGAGAGAGGACCAGACCTGGATTTTATTTTGGGTTTTAGTTCTGTTTGTGCGCGACAGTCATCCGCGAGGGGCTGTCGCGCTATTTTGTGTTTATTTTATTATTAAAGTTTTCTTTGAACGTTTGCCGGTTCCCGCCTCCTTCTTCCCGAACTACGAACTTTGTTACACTTATTTTAAATTGTCATTGTTTCACAATGTTAGAGCTTTTACTGTATTTATAAACAAATCTTACCTAAACTAAAACAGTTATGATTATTATTCTAAATTGTTTGGCATTTGACAGTCCTGCAACTTTCATCCTCTCATATCTGTCAAAATACTTTATTTCAGGATTTATTTATAAATATTTTTGTATCCCTGTTGTCTCACTGTTTGACCACACAGTACACCTTTCTTTTTGCCATTTTTAACAATCCAGGAGACTTTGAAAGCCTTAACATTTGTGACTGAAATGCATGCAGCACATAAAACAATTTGTGTATGAAAAAAGGACTATTTAGAGTACTGTACACTAGGGCCTACTTCAAGGACTGACAACCTGCTGCTGTGTGAATGTAGCTGTAGCCACCGCAACTCACCCTTACTGGACTTCTAGATTTTTCCAGCAAGTGTTTAAATGGGCTCAGACCTCCTCAGCTGTAATGGGAGTTTGTGTTTCGCTTGTATTTGTTCAAATCTGTCCATGGAGCACCGACTCAGATTCAGCTGTGAGACGCAGGGCTGATTTCCCAGAAAGGGCTTTAGAGCGAAGACAGAGACGAACAATCGCTTTGCATTAGGCGAAAACGCTCTGGCACAATCAATATCCTGTTTGTGTGTGAGTGCGTGATGGTGCACAGGGGATGTGGCTTGTTGCATGTGTGTGCATGTTATGGCAAACAACATGATTGAGTATAAGAGGAAAATGGATAGAAACAATGGCCAAAAATATTCAAGAGCAGCTGAGAAGAGGTGCATCTCCCTTTGTCCATCCTTTAAAAGCCCTCTTTTCCATTCTCATTACTCTCTACTTGTTCTCTTCTTCCCATTTAATCCTTTTCACTTGTTCACAGTCTCTTTCTTGCTTCACCTCTTTCTTTTCCCATCATAGTGTGTCCTCTGTTGCTTGTCTGCATGTAAAATCCTCTCTCTCTCTCTGTTTCTCCAGATGAGTATTAGCCAGCCGGTCGTGTAGAGGGTCCCTCACATCCCACCTGCAGTCATGAATGGTAAGAACACAGCTCTTTTGTGTGTCAGGGGCATGGACTTTCTTTAAATCCCATTATCATTTACTCACCCTTATGCCTTTTAAAACCCATTTAGCTTTCTATCTTCTGTGGAACACAAAAGGAGATGTGTAGGAGAATGCTCAAGCTGCTCTTTTCCACACAATGAAAGTAAATGTTTACCATGACTGCCAAGACTTGACTTTTGATGAATAACTTAAATTTCACTTCATTTTTTTTTATATAGATCTGTCATATGGCTTCAGGCATCTTGGAATATAGTCATATGAACCATTTTTATGACCATTTTAATGTGGAGCTTGACAGCTTCTGGTCTCCGTACACTTTCATTATAGAAGAGAGCAGCTCCAACAGTCTACTAAATATCTTATTTGTTCTGCAAATGAAGGTCATACAGATTTGGAACAACACGGGGGTGAGTAAACGATGACCACAATTTAATTTTGGTTGAACTATGCCTTTAAAAGAATGAGGCTATGGAGAAAAATTCAGACGCAGCTCATTTGGCTTGTGTGCTGAATCACTACAGAAAAACATGGGAAGTTCTTGTGTTGTAGAATCTTCTAAGGCTGAACAGACTCTTAGTGATGTCGTTATCAGAATGTTCACATTTTTTAGATTCAGCGCAGGGTTTGTACAGAACACACCCAGTTGAAAGTTGTTAATGACTGCTTCCTTATTTATATAGGGACAGACTAATATTTGCTAAACTCTATAAAGGATTTTGACCATTTTTTTTTAAATATTTGCTGCACTTTCATAAAAACATTTTTTTTAATTACCTTGAGGAGGTACCTTTTGTAGGTTAGTAGGTGTAATATTTTTGTAAGTTAATATTGTTGATGAAATAAGATAAGGTAAAAAATGTTTAAAAAATGTTTAAGACATAATAAAATAAAGTCAATTAATTTGAATGTTACAACACATTTGTAGGTTAAAGGAATTCACTCCATCTCTTTTCTAAATGCATGTTTTGATTTTATCATGAATGAATAATCTATGCATATGTTAGACTTGGACCTCTCTCTCGTGGCGTCCAATAATTCCATCCAGATAAACCCCGCCCCTTACAATCGACTGCAAGCTTTTTGATATGCCTCCATCCAATAAAAAACTATGATTTGGACCAAGTCCCTGCCCTATATTTTTTCTTCTTAATAATCCATTTCACTCGGATGTATGTCTCAGAAGAAAAGATCGGTCACTACTTCTGTTACATCACAACTGTGGTGGCACCATTCTACCAGTGATGGTAAAGCATAGTAATACAGTACCATGGTGCTTTGAATTATACCATCATACTGAATTACTATAATATTCATATTTAATAGTTTTTACATGGTACTTCATAGAATGTCATAGTTTTACAATGGTATAATGTATTACCAGAAAAGAAGGCACAGAAAGTAGTGAAAGATACTTTGAATAAAAGCGCCAAACAAATTCTGTACAATAAATGTATATCAAAATCCATTTGTGTCCAAAAACTTGGTAATACCTTTATACTTGTTTGTGAGGGAAATCTGAAGGAGCCTTTCAGATGTACTGATTGAGACACCAGTCTGATGTGGTTCAAGTCAGCTCTCGTTAAGGTTTTAATAAAATATTTATCTTTCAGTCCAAGATAAGCTAGAGAAAGAGAGCAGGCAGGGTGAGTGGAGTTTGTTTAATATCTTGGGTGTGTTTTGATGTGTGACTTTAAAGTAAAGCAAAATTTAAGCATTTATTCTTTAGCTACAATTTCCTGACTTTAAGAAAATCCCAGGAGGGATTTTCAGGTCTATTTGTTGAAGGCTGCATCATGGTGGTGGTAAAAGTAGGAAAGCTGAGGTTGCAGGTTTAAATACTAGTGTTTGGTTCCTGACATAAGTCATATTTGTGTAATTGGCTATGAAGCTAAATTGCTACATCATCCCAAATAAATGCTAATTTCAGCACTGTGAGGAACATTTTGGACATTTTTATGAATGTGTTCTTTGTGTGTGTGTGTCTGCGAGCTTATTTTTTCTCTGTGAATACTTGTTCGTTTGTTTATGTATATGTGTGTAGTGGTTAATCCTCTTAGTGCTTTTGGGAAAGGGTTGCCTCTTCACAGTTTAATCAACCTGGAAGTGCACAGTGAGAAACAGATATTGTTTGCTTATAATGTGTGGTATTTTTGGATGCTTTATATGCTTCTGTAAATTACATATATCAGTTGGGATCTTAAATTTGTGTAGTTGTTTCTGTCTGAGCACTAATGCTAAAGCACAAAAGCAAACCTGCTACATCTTCAACAGAGAAACACTTACTCTTACCACTTTAATAGCTAATTGGGCCTGGATTAGTAATAAACCTCAAGTAAATGCTTCACTGTGTGCATGGCCTGGAGGGATTAAAATTTCCCAAAGGAGCACCTGAATACACCATCACACAGACTCCCTGATTCCCACACTGACACAGTCCGTTGCCACGTTTCAATGTTAGGAGACCTGATTGTGGAACCGTTTGTCCTTGAATACTGTGTAAAATGTATTCATGCTTCTGCTTCATGAGCTGTGTCCCAACAATTCCACCAAAAATGTTAATATGTCCTGGGTTCTGCTTTTATGCTCACTGACTTAACATTGAGTATCCTCAGTGTCCTTGTAGTTACTGCCTCTGGTATCATATGTGCTTCATAATAGAATGACATTGCAGAGAAAAAAGCTGTTGCTTTGTCATTGCAAATTGTTTTAGCAAATCAGCCTACAGTATATGTTTTACATTGTAAAATATTTTTAAATTGTTGCTCAGAACATTTCAGATTCACCATCAAGACACTGGCTCCCCTAAGGAGACGATCAGATTCATGTAAAAATAAAACAAAACTGCTGACTATTAAACTACTGATATTACTAGTCGTGTGAGTGAACGTGATTTCAAACATATTCAAAGTACTATTGATTTCTTTAGAGCTTAATCATTTTTAATCTAGTGCTACTAGTTTGTTGAAAGTTGGACTAATTGCTCCTTTTTTGTCATAAATAGTAGCTCCATTTTCCTGAAGTAAAGGCTGATTATCTCAAACTTTCAAAGAGTTTTTATCTTTTGTTGAATGAGCTAAATTTCCGTGAAGAAAGACATCACATGAATTCACAGACCTGCACTTAATTAATCATGATGGCCTTTTTCAGAATCTTAGCTCTGCTGACAATGCAGGAAAAGTGAGCTGAAAGTAGTTTGTTTCCTCCCCAAAGAAAAAAGAGAGGCTGAGAAAGAAAGAATGAACAAGAGGGTGTGATAACATTTGCCCCATTCTTTCATTAAAGGAATAGTTCACCCAAGAATTATAATTTGCTGAAAATGTACACTCAGATGTAGATGAGTTTGTTTCTTCTTTGCACCAGATTTGGAGAAATTTAGCATCACTTGATTGCCAATTGATCCTCTGCAGTGAATGGGTGCCATCAGAATGAGAGTCCAAACATCTAATAAAAACATCACAAAAATCCACAAGACTCCGGTCCATCACTTAACATCCTGTAAAGCAAAAAAAAAAAAAACTACATATTTGTAATAAATAAATTCATTTTTAAGATGTTTTTAACTTCAAACAGTTGCTTTTAGTTAAACTATAAATCCTCTATTCCTAATATTGCTTTCTGCTTTCTCCACTTAAAAATCGTCTCATCTGAAACAGGAGAGAAATATGCACAGATCAGTTTTGTGCTGCACAGATCAATTCTCTGCTGGTATTTTGGCCAGCGGTTTAAAGTTAAAATTCCTTAATGAGTATTTATTTCTTACAAACATGCAGCTTTTTACTTGACAAAACATTTATTGATGGTCTTGAGTTGGTGAATTACTTGTGGATTATTGTGCTGTTTTTATCAGCTGTTTGGACTCTCATTCTAACGGTACCCATTCACTGCAGAGGATCCATTGGTGAGTAAATGTTGTAATTCTAAATTTCTCCAAATCTGTTCCGATGAAGAAACAAACTCATCTATGTCTTGTGAATACATTTTCAGCAAATTTTCATTTTTGGATGAACTATTCCCTCAACTAAATAAAGTTCCTTTTTGAAGGAAACCACATAGTCAGAGCTGCTACACACCTGTATTTTTCAAATCAAGTACTGTCTGCACCTATTAAGAGCAGAGCCAAAACACCAGCAGGTGATAAAAGGCTTGTCTTCAGCATTCTGTGTGAAAGCTGTGTTGAGATTGACTCACTCTGAGCATGTTAAGTGGAGCAGGTTGTAATTGGACACTGACATTTTTGATAGATCTTTGCCTGCTGCCTCTGCGAGACATCGTGGTTTACAATAAATAGTAAATAATTATTAATGGCACTGTCATTCCATTAAAATATGTAAAATATGCAGCCTCTTTCCAGCCAGACATCTCTAATGCCTGGATCACACAAGCCAACAGCCTTTGTCAAAGAAACAGACAATCTCGCAGAGAACTGGCAGGAACTTCAAGACCCACAAAGGAGAAAAACAACAGCTGATCCAGGATGAGATTTGAGAAGACAGAACATAATAATCAAAAGGAATAAAATTTCTTTCACTTTCTCTGTCCCTGTTATTGTCGCAGGTGGTTTTAATATTTGGGCTATAACTCCAGAAGAGAGGGGGAAACATGACAAACAGTTTGACTCTCTGGCTCCCACTCTGGGTTATTTGTCAGGTAATAGCACACACATACATACACTACTGTTCATATGTTTGGTATCAGTAAGATTTTTGATACTTTTTGAAAAATATGTATAATTTTACTCGGCAAAGACACATTAAATTTTATAAAAAAATACAAGTCAAAAAATCCTGAAAATGTTTATCTAGTTTCCTGAGCAGCAAATCAAGATATTAGGATGATTTCTTGAGGATCATGTGACACTGAAGACTGGAGTAGTGGCTACTGAAAATTCAGCTTTGTCATCACAGGAATAAAGTGAAATTTAAAATATATTAAAATAGCAAACCGATATTTTTAAGTTGTAATATTATTTTGCAATATTTATGTAGCATATGCGACACCTAAAACTTTTGAAAGGTAGTGTATGAACATGCAAATTATGCTCCATATACAGTGCACGTAACTTTTATTTCTTTCTAGGAGATCAAGCACGAAAGTTCTTCCTACAATCTGGTCTTGCCACAGCAGTCCTAGCAGACATCTGGTAAGTATACACACATGTACACACACCCTTAATGTACATACACACTTAATCCGGTTTATCTGTCTTTCAGATGACTGAAACCCTTCCTATTTCTTTCTCAAAAATGTATTAAATTTTAAGATCATTTAAGAAGCATTTTCACTAGTGGCACTTTGTATTTTTGACCCCATTGATATCTGTATGTTCCAATGTGATTGTGTTTGCTATTGCAGGGCTGGATATATCATAATAAAATTTGAAATGAATGTGTGTGGGACAATGTGCATTTGAAGCCACATACGTCTCTGGAGGGTGGTGGTTCCCAAAAATAACCTCTTCCTGTCTGTGGTTAGTCTACTGGTGTAAACACTGTCGCCCATCCACAAACAGGATGCAGATTTACTGATACAGGATACAGAATGTCTGATTTGAGTTTATAGCATTTGCTTGTTCTAAAATTCTCTTGTTCATAAAGAAATATGGTAGCATAACAAAGATCTGAGCTCATAATAATGCTGCTCAGTCATCACAAACCAACTTCTGGGTTTTTCCGTGGGGATTTTACTAGCAATTAGTGCTCTGTAAGCCACTTTTGATGAGAATATCTGCTTCCTTTATTTCAGGGCATTGGCGGATATAGGAAAGGATGGGAAGATGGACAGATTGGAGTTCTCCATTGCAATGAAACTAATTAAACTGCAGCTGCAGGGTCAACCCCTCCCGTCCAGCCTGCCAATCATCATGAAGCAGACGCCTACCCCTGCTATGACACCATCATCACGCTTTGGTATGAGTTAATAGCTGGTTATGTAACGCCATGTGAGGTTTGTTTGCTGTGTTAACAAGTTTATTGAGCCTCATTCATACTACAGGTTGGGACACTCATACTACAGGTTTTGAAGATGATGAAGACATATTAAGACATATAATATTATTTTAATATAAAATCTCAGAAATGTGTAACTGGACGATCAATCTATCTGTCTTGTCTGTCTGTCTAATACTATCAAATAAATAAATATTAGATGAAAAAGCTCAACTTAAAACTTAAGTGAAAATTAGAAACGTTGTCTTGGCAACTAATTGAATAATGTTAAGTTGAAGTACAAAAATGACTAAAACTGAAATAAAAATAAGCAATATAGAAGTACAAAAAATTAAACAAAAGTTAATTAAAATATGAATAAATATTAGAATCGTATATAAATAATAAGAAATTTGAATTTAAATAGAATATTATTATTTATAAATAAATAAAAACATTTACAAATAAAACACTAAAATCAAAAATAATTTTACATACTACATGTGAATGTACAATGTGAAAATTTGATATTTAACATGATATTTAACATTGCATCTACTGATTATTGCATAAAACAGTGTTATTAAATTATTTTAAAATATTTTTTTAAATGATTCTAAACTGAGCGTTAGATGATGGCAAAAGTAAAAGAAATATAAAAACAGCATTAATGAGCATGAACAGCTTAATATCCAATATATAGTTAAATGTGATATCGATACAAATGAATAAAAAAATCAGCTGACAATCAATATGGTACCAGTATATCACATAGAAATGATCTCATATAATCTGGCTTTGATTTGTTTCAGGTATGGGCTCCATGCCAAATCTGTCTGCCATGTCAGTAATGCCCATCCTAACTCCCATCCCCACAGCCCCTGCTATGACCCCTTTGGTTCCTGTGCCCACCCTTATGTCAGGACCATTGCCTCAGATGCCCAGCTCTCTCAGTGTGCCAGCTTTACCTAACGGCAATGCAACTCTCCTCACACCAACACCAGGTACTGTAACACCTTCTATCCTAAATTCATGCGCAAACCACCATTTTGCACAGATGAGCATTCAGTATGCATGTACTATTAAATCTATATGCAATGAGACTCAACCATTGATATATTGCATAATCTATAACTCCGTTACAAAGTTTGCATGTGCTTTAAGTAATTCTCTTTCTTCTGTTATCTTTCCAGCATTCCCAGTGTCCAGTGGATTGAGTAAATCTCACTCGCTCTTGGACCTTGTCTCTAGCAGGTGTGAAGCATGCATACTAAGTTCAACGCCCATGTTTGTATTAGAATTGGGTGTAATATCTATTGCATGCAAGTGTTTGAGTGTTTGTTTCAATGATAGCTAAAAAATACTTCTCAGAACTGTGCTTTGAGACACCCTGTTACTCTGGGCTTGTTTTGCCAGCACTAGAAGTTTGTAGTAAATAAGAGTGTTTGCTGACAGAGTGCTTGAATAGCACAGCTGTCTCCTTGTATCTTAATAGGATCTTGTTAGGGTTCCTCCGAGAGTCATCCAACCTCCACATGGTTGTACAGAAGCCTGTAATAAACCCACTAATTCCTGCTCAGTGCCTGTTTAAAATTAATTTGGGTCTAGGGCTGTGCAATATATCTAATATACACAATACATTCGGAATGATTATCTTGACGATATAGAATTAAGCAACATCATGTATGTCGCAATCATTTTATTGCCCTTTTTATTTAGCCATAAACTTGCCTAAGTTTCTATTTCCATGAAATCTGTCCGTTTCAAAATTTAACTCAAGTCACTCGTGTCATCACTCGAGTGAAAATATATGTTGATTAATTCAATATTAAATATTGATGTTTATATTCATGCATTGTTACAATGCATATGAATGACAAGAGTAAATGATTAAATATTATTCTCTAGATTAACTAGATTTTTTTTAGTTATTGTATAAAATGAATTGATTATATTAAAAGTAATGAAAATGTACTCACTCTCAGGCAATCCAAGATGTAGCTTGTTTCTTCATCAGAACAGATTTTGATAAATTTTGATACATTTTTGGATCATTTTGAACTAATGGATCCTCTGCAGTGAATGGGTGCCGTCTGAATGAGAAAGCAAACAGCTGATAAAAACACCACAATAATTCATAAGTTAACCAATACCCACATGACTCTAGTCAATAAATTACCATCTTGTGAAGTGAAATGCTGTGTGTTTGTAAGAAACAAATTCATCGTTATGGGCCTAACTTTATTTACTGGGTCTAGGGCTGAATATTATCAAAAGAGTGAAAACTATATATTTTTGGCTATACTGCTCAGTCTTATTTTGTCTGTGCGTGTCCACCCATGTGTGCAAATATGTTTGGGTTAGTTTGTAAGGGTATTAGCCAGTCACCAGGATGATATCGCACTCTCTGAACCTCTCATCCTGTTCTGTCTATCATTCCAGCCCATGCCGAAGTGCAGAAGGCTGCTGAATCCTGTTAGTGTTATCTCAGAATATTTAAAAATCAGTGAACTGACAGCAGTGAGTCAGAATACTGCGAATTGCTCATTATTATGAGTTTTAATTATGATTTTAATGGTCCTTGTAGTGGTAATTACTGCACTAACAAGGATTCAGCAAATGTTGCTCAGACATCAATTATTTAAAGTATAATGTCACAGCAGAATCTCACAGCACTAAAGGAAAAGCTGATCTTGCAGCTAGCCTGAGACCAGTTGTCTGTGTTTTATGATGGTCTAGGTTATTGGTTCATGAGAGGATTATATTAGTGTTAATGAGCAGCTGCTAAATGGAGCTCATTCGAAAAAATTTGGCATGCAAATGCAGTTTCTGGAATCAAGAGTGCTGTACAAGTGAAAACTCTCAGGAATTATCTGAACACATGCAGATTTGGAGAATGAAGCGGATCTATATTTAGCATTAGTTAATGCATTAAAAAAACATACATTTAGTAATTAGGTGCAACCTAAAACCTTCATCAGTAAGTTTATTTATTGAAAAAAGCATTACATATTAAATTATCACTTTTATAGAAAAGCATACTAATAATTTATTTCTAAATTTCCACAGTTCTAACTCTTCCTCCACCACCTCCCTTGCGAGTAATTCCCCCAAAATGAATGCATCTGATTGGGCGGTGCCTCAGTCGTCCCGTCTGAAATACCGACAGCAGTTCAACAGTCTAGACAAGCTGATGAGTGGATACCTGTCAGGTGAGTGTGTGTTTGTAGGCAATGGTAGTGTTTGCATATGATAGCATCTCTGTATACGTGTCATGCATTAACTCTTTTGTGTTTTTTTGAAGGTCCCCAGGTCAGAAATGCCCTCACAGCATCAAACCTCACACAAACACAGCTTGCCACCATATGGTGAGTTCAAGAAACACTGTACTCATCATATGAAACACTCATTAATCTCATGAAGAACATGTTTTAATGACATTATTTGCATACACATCCTCCCCCCTTTGCGTTGTTTAATGCATATTTCCATTTTTTCTTTACAAAAAGTCAAAGTGTCAAATAGGCAGAAACTTGTTGAAGACCCATGCATTAATCACTCGCACACATTAAACCCTGGATCACACTGTATTGCTCGAAGCGGTGTGTTAAACACCTACTTCCACAGTGTTGCGTCTGCTGTTTAGGTGCCAGTTGAATTATTAGGAACTGATTCATCTATTAAACATTTGAAATGCTTCCAGGTTAATGTGTGTGTCATGTGTGTGCTTGTGCGTGGGTACATTATGTGTATATATCTCTGTCTTCAGGGCTCTTGCTGATGTAGATCGTGATGGGCAGTTGAGAGCGGAGGAGTTTATTCTAGCAATGCACCTGGTTGATATGGCCAAGACTGGGCGGCCCTTACCTCTGACTCTACCTCCTGATCTTGTGCCACCTTCACTCAGGTAAGACACACATAGACCCGCCCATGCTGGAATGAGTAAGATATGGAGGACACTGTGTTTATTCTGTGAGTTTGTGTTTGTTTTCAGACAAGCAAAGTCATGTGACCTGCTGAACGGACCTGTTCCTTCGATTAACACTGAGCTGATTGAGTCAGAACATCCACAGAAAAGCAAGAGTAATGGTATTTGCATATACATATACTATACGTACTAGTGGCCAACAGATTTTTGGCTTCCAATATATTGCATATATACTATTTAATATATATGATATATTTAAAATGCATTTTAATGATGCTATATGAGCTATATACAGAATTGCTCAATTTAAAAATAAATTTATTAATCAAAAGTGTGAGTTGCATTTTAAACCTGATCTATAAAAGCATGCATTTAGTACCTTATTAATGTATTTACCTATTTCATTATGCTCACATTGCAAAGCCATTAAAATAATCATTATCTATGTGGAAAGTTATCATCATGATCCTTCAGAAATCATTCTAATATGCTGATTTGGTGCTCAAGAAACATTTCTTATTATTATCAGTGTTGAAAACCGTTGTGCTGCTTAATATTTTCATGGAAACCGTGATATTTTTTAGGATTATATAATGAATGGAAAGTTCAAAAGAACAGCATTTATTTGAATTTTTGTTGTAACATTATGAATATCTTTACTGTCACTTTTGATCGATTTAATGCATCCTTGCTGAATAAATTGTGCAAATACATACTCGGGTCACAAATACACACTGTCCTTATTTCTACACAGTATTGTAAATGATCTTTCTAAATATTGCTGATTCAGCTGAACAGTCTCTTTTGAGTTTGTGTTTAGATTAAATGCCTTAGATGTAACCTTTTTTTTAATATACACTTTTCTGTTCTGTATTATATTATTTTTATTGTGTTGACTTTGATAACACTTACCTCACCTTTCTGTCTGTCTCTCAGAGTCATTTGAGGATAAATTCAAGGAGAATTTCCAGAGAGGAAATGCAGAGCTGGAAAAACGACGTCTGGCTCTGCAGGAGGAACAAAAGAGAGAGGAGGAGAGGAGGAGAGAAGAGGAGAGACGAGAGGAGGAGAGGAGACGACAGAAGGAGAGGGAGGAAAGAGAACAAAAGGAGAGAGAAGCCCTGGAGATGGAGCTGAGGAGACAGAGGGAAGAGGAGAGGAGGATAGAGAGGCAGAGAGAGCTGGAGCGACAGAGAGAAGAAGAAAGACTGAAAGAATTAGAGCGACAAGAGGCAAGTGGTGCATGCAAGGGCAGACAGAGGTTGAACGACCACTAGAATATTACAGCAAAGCCTCACGTTTTTTCCACGTGCATACATGTTGAATGAATAAATTGTTTATACACTAGGGGTATCAAAAAAACAAAATCATGATTAATCTCATGAAGGTTTGTAGTTTATACGTTTTCTTTGTGAACTGAGCCAGTATCTTTTTCCTTTAAATATGTTAAGCAAATATGTTGAGTGTTTTTATACAGTTTTTTTCTTTAGTGTACAAAAATATGCACAAAATATAATACTAAAAAAATTATTAATTTTGTGCATACGTGTGTAGAGTTATATAAAAACTTATTTAAC